CTTATACTTTGCTTCTGTGAAGTGTCAGCAAGAAACTCAGAAGCTGCCAAATCAGACCACATTCATTATCCATCCAGCAGAAAGGTGGGGATACAAAAGCTGAATTTAGTGTTTTTGAAATGTCTGTGAGAAATAAGACAAGCATAACTTTTGGAATAATTCAGAATTTAAGCTCGGGTTAGTTTACAGCCAATATAAGCACAGTAGTTAAAGTATTCCTGCTCGTATCTCATCTTTGTGTGCTATTCTATAATATCTGAATCTGGGATCAGTAAGGTCTCTTATCTGGGCTTGTGTGTGCAGTGTCTCATCTCGTTGGGTTTCTCGTGCTGCTGAGATGCATCCAGACCTTTCACAGTCTGCCTTGCTCTGATAAGAGCTTCTGGTGCTATTTTAAGACATGGGAAACTTATAAGTGTGAACCTTCCAGCTGAGAGAGTCTGTGGATGTTGTTAATATTTCAGATATAAGAGTTGTTTTTTTCACTGCAGGAGGCGAGTAGGTGTAAAACTGTTCTTATAATGCAAGGTTAAAGTCTGTGGGAAAGCCTTAAACTGAGTGATCTACTTGTTTAGTGAGCATCTGATTGGAAGAGCTGCATGATGAACTGTGAATTTATATTTATAATTACATTTATTAATTTATACACTACCATTCAAAGTTTGGGGTCGGTAAGATTTTTTTATGTTTTAACTACAGTAAAACTACAGTAAAACTGTGAAATATTATTACAATTTAAATAACTTTTTTCTATTTGAATATGTTTTAAAATGTAATTTATTCCTGTGATGCAAAGTTGATTCGTCAGTGTCACATGATTCTTCAGAAATCATTCTAATATGCTGATTTTCTGCTTTGTGTTTTCATGGAAACCATGATACTTTTTTTCAGGATTCTTTGATGATTTTCATGATTCTTTGATTTTCATCAGGATTTCTTAGATGAAAATGAATAGAAAGGTCAAAAGAAAATATTTAATTTGAAATAGCCATCGCTTTAACGTTATAAATGTCTATTATTGTCATTTTACGTTTAAAATGTCCTTCCTGCATTAAAAGTATTAATTAAAAAAAAATCATATTGTCCCAAAATGAGCGGCTTAGTAAATAAATATAAATTGATACTTCAAAATATTTATTAATATTATATTTCATACTTATATTTCAACTAATTTATATTTATAGTGAATTAAAGGGGTCATATGATGCTTTTTTAAAGATCATTATTTTGTGTATTTGGTGATCTTTGATTTATCCAAAACCTTGCGGCTGATCATACGATTGGGCGAGCTTGTGCTCATTTTTAGGTGATTGCAGACTCACTTTGTGATTAAGGAGAGAGCGGGCATGAACCTGTTTTCCCATTGGCGTTCCAGGTTTCCTGTGACCACACTGATTCAGCAGTGCTGACAGAGGAAGCTGTGATGGAGAGATGCTAATGTAGCTAAAAGCAGATGGCTTCCACTCATTGTTCTGCTATCTCTTGGTTATTTCGGTTGTGGTATCATTCACTCGTCATCATTACTGGGTGAGCGTTAGGGACAGAGTTAGGGTTAGATGCTCTATTCCAAAATGTCTACATTTTCTATTAAAGCACGTAACCAGCAAAGCTTAATACTCTTGTTTTTGCACAGTGATTGTTTGACGGGTGAGTAGGCGGTCATTTGATCTCACTCAGGACATTTACACTATGAAGACCAATTGCAGTGTGCTCATTGTGACCCTCATTTTGGACCCTGTTTACACCTGCATTTTAGTGCTGAGCACTTGATTCAAGAGCTTTTCGTGCCTCTTCACTGTATGATTTTATTACAGGTGCATGCTTGTGGCATAACAACACTCGTCATTCCATTCTAACCGGAACTGACAGTTTTCATTGTTTAATTTTGGCTTGGAGAATGACATGATGGCAGTGTAATAGTGACAGACTGATTTAAAAACAGAATGACTGACAACTGAAGCTCACCAAAGAGCGAGGTGTGTGTTAGAGTCTTACAGCACAGCAGTTGATAGTGCATGTATAAAAGATATAGTGTCTCACACACCTGAATCAATCGCACTGTATGTGTGTCAGGCCTAATATAAACTCCAAGAAATGTAGAAATCCAGCAAGCCTTACAAAAGTTTTTAGCTTAGTAACAGTTCGGTCAGTCGACTTTCCTCAGGCTCACAAAACACTCAAAAAAAAAAGAAACCGTTCAAATTGCAAATTATCGAATTGTAGAATTATGTTTGTGTTTGTGCTTTCTTTTTGATTATTTTTAATTCTATATTAATAATTCTATATTAGTTGTAGGGCTGGGCGACTTTCCTAATTTTATCAGTTATCCAAATGTTTTGAATAAAAGTATTAGATATCTTTACAATATGCCAATGATAACAGTTAAGAGAGAAAAAAAATGATCCAACCGTATTAACGTTGAAAATATTGCTAGTCCTATAAGGGGATATTCATAAAAATGTGTTTGTATTGAAAAACATGAGACATAGAATGGTGGAAAACACTCAAGGTTATGAGATGCGAGTTGAATTTCTTTTAGTTTGAGTGCCACATTTTTAGAAAGCCATTTCATGTGCAAGACGCTGCAAAAGACACACACAAGCAAAACGGTCAAAACATGCATCAAGCACATGTTTACATAGAAAAAAAAACGTTCTTTGAGTAGATGGTTTTGCAAGTTTTTAATGAAGAGAATGTTAACTGAATCATGTGGTAGTTACGTTTTTAAGTTGACATTAAACATTAAAGTTAAACATAAAAAATAGTTACCATGAATCTGTCAAACATTCTGAAAAAATTCCATTTGAATAAACACGCGGTAGACCAGCGGGTTCCTAGTCTGACGTCAGCCTGTGCCGTTGGCCTGAAAGCACTGGGGGTTTGTTTCAGCAGCGGTTAAAACACACACAAAGCGTCAGACAGGCAACAGTGATGAATGATTCAGAAGCGTTCTAGGCCACACCGAGCCTCAATCCACTCTAGTTAGCAGGCAAGTTATACGTAAGGACCCATTCTGATAAAAGTCCAGACCCTCGGGCATGTGTGCATAAACTCGCATTCAGACAGAGGCTAAATCTCCAGTGTCTTAAGCAAACAAGATTCACCCACACGGGTCAAATGCTGTCAGACCAACTCACCATAAATGAGAAATTTGCCTGCGTAGTTTGAATTGCAGATAGGAGTTTCCTGTCGGTGTGTAGCCCGTAGTCACCACAAGCAAATACCTGCACGCACCTGAGCGTGTCTCCCATAAATCCCTGCAGCTGATGGAACGAGGAGATCCAGCATGCCCAATGGGATTTTTTTGTACTTCATACTAGAATAGACTAATCGGTTGCTTTTTACTGCTTCAAATTGCATCACAATGTCCACATGTTGTACATTTAATGATGAAGTTTAAATTAAGGATGCACTGAAATTTTGGGACCAAGAGAGAGAAAAAAAAACAGAAATCCATGGCTGAAACACTGACTGAAAAAAATCCTTTGAAATGTGAAATGATACTGGTTTTAGTGTGAATGGGAAATCTTGTTATTTAAGGAGAGGGAGCAATACTAATCTAATAGTGACCAAAGAACTGGTAATGAGGATGAGAATTGAATGAATATTACAAATATTCACTGGAGATTTTTAATCTAAATAGCATGCATTTGAAAACAAAAAATGCCCTTTGTTCAGCGTTGGTTTCAGAAACCCTTATAAAGCATGTAAAGCACTGCTAGTGTTTTTAAGCGGTCAGCACTTGTTAAACTCCACGTATGACTCGGTTTCTTTTATTCCTGGGATTGAATGCTGTTAACAGTGTCTGTATGACTGCACCCTCTTGTGGAGAAATCATAGGGACACTTTTATCAAAGAGAAAATACCACATGCAACTGACCACTACTTATAAAAACATTTATAGCCATTTTATAACACATTTTACAAAATATGATGGTTTGTATTTTAGACTCTATAGGCATGAAACCTTTGCTACACTACCATTCTAAAGTTTGGGGTCAGTAGGATTTATATATTTTTTAAATAAATTAATACTTTTATTCAGCAAGGACAAGTTAAACTGATCAAAAGTGACAGTAAAGACAATGTTACAAAATATTTTTATTTCAAATGAATGCTGTTCTTCTGAACTTTCTGTTTCTCAAAGAATCCTGGAAAAAAAAAAAAAAAAAAAAAAGTATTATTCAGGCTAATATTAAGGCTGTTGAAAATTCAGCTTTGCCATTACAGGAATAAATTCTATTTTAAAATATATTGGAAATAAGACTGTATATCATTCCAAAAATAGTGCCACTTTCTCACAAAATAAGATGTGCTTTCTGTAGAATTTCTGCTAGGTGAAGAAGTAAGTTTGATGGTACATTTTGAGTTTGGTGCATTTAACATTGAAACCAAAACTTTTGACATTTCACTGCTTTTATTGTTTTGACAAGTAGCCTAGATTAAAACTGACACATACACTGTAAAAAAAAAATACTGGTAATTTTCTGCCAGGACATTATCAATTAATTTTATGGGCATTTTCATTAACTCTAACGCACAACGCAATGCAGTGCAATTATTATTTTTTGGCTATATACTGTATATTTGAAAAATCTTCATTCTTATTTTGTGAAAAAACTGTACATGATGTACTGTACATGAACTGTACAGAGTTGTGTAATAATCAGAAATGTTTCTTGAGCTGCAAATCAGCATATTAGAATGATTTCTGAAGGATCATGTGACACTGAAGACTGGAGTAATGATGCTGGAAATTCAGCTTTGATCACAGCAATAAATTACATTTTAAAATATAATGAAACAGAAAACAGTTTCTTTTCTCATAATATGTAACTATATTATTATAAATGCTGCCTTGGTGAGCATATGAGACTTCTTTCAAAAACCTATGTCAAACAGTAGTGTATTTAGTAGTTAGACAGACACGTGTTTAATGTTGTCACGACACGTTGATTGACATTTATCATTTATCATTTATCATTATGACTGTTTTCCAGCAGTCAGCAGAGTAGTCAGCAGAGCAGCCAGCAGAGCAGCCATGACGACGATTCCAGCCGCTTCCTGACTCCCTTCATCCGTGAGGACAGGTGAGTACACTGTGTGAGTGTCTGCATGCACTGTACTTATCAGAAACATCAATACTTTTTTTATAAATGAATTGATGTGCAGAGATGCTCAGACTCCCAGAGCTCAGGGTGCAAAGAGGAAGCCTTAGATAATGTTCAACTCAGTGACTTTAACAAGCATGAAAGGCATAGAAATGGATTAAACAGCCAAGCTTGATCTGGTAATTATAAAAGTTTAACGTTTACGGTGACTGGCTGAGTGGAAAAACCTCCTGGTGATTCAAAATATCTGCTCTGAAATGCCTTTCAGAACAGGACTTTAAACTTTTGATTTCATTTGATAGAGTGCAGTTTGTAGATTTGTCTGTCATGATCTCAGAGTGTTTCAAAATGTTCCTTACATGTACATTTATACATTTAGCAGACACGTATATGTTGCACAGAATCAAACTTGCAGTTTTGAGAGAGAAACAATACAGATAAGTCGCATTGGTGTTTATTATTACATTGAAACATAAAAAAAAAAGTTTGCAATATTCAGGACAGAGCAGGAATTAAACATATAAGTATAAAACAAACAGTGACATTCGTTATAAACAACATTTATTTTAAACACCAAGCCTAAACAGATATATTTAAAGTTAAATTATCAGTGTGGGAAATGCACAAATAAATTTGTTTTTAAATATGTTTTGCATACTTTATGGTAATTGCATCACGTAAGTGGTTTTTTAAGTTTGTTTAAATACATTAATACATGTGTTAGTATATGTAGAATTTCACATCAATATTAAGAAATGATTGATTCATTATTGTTCATTGCTAGCTCATGCTTTGTCAAGATCAAACACACTGAAGGCTGGAATACACTCAAATCTGAATACATTTTTAGACACTACCCTTACGAAAAAGAAGTTTATTCAAGTGTGCTATTAGTATACTTCTTTTAAACTAAAAATAGGAAAGTATACTTTTAGTCTACTTTTTATGTACTTCTCAGAAATGGGCTTTTCAGAAATATACTTGAACTTTACTTAAGTATACTTACTAAAATAAACTTGAAGTATACTACTTTTTGGTAAGGGTAGGCATCATACACTTGTTGACTTTGTAAATGGTTACAGAGAAAAACAGGGCATCATACACTAAACGACACTTTTAGTGACCGTGACTAACCATGTTTTCAGGTCATTTCAAATGCAGAGACTCGTGACAAATGAAAACAAAATGTAATTGTAAAATCTGCTCAAAATATCAAACATATCTGATAACCTTTAACTGGATGGAATCACAGTCTGAAGCTAAAAAATCTGTCTGTGCGCATCATACACTAAGTGACTTTTTTGCTAAATATTTTAATTCAGACTGCTGACCGTCTTTAAGCAGCTAGTGAACTAAAGTTTGGGACAAAAATCTGGTCAGAAGTTGTGTAATATATTCCAGTTTTACCATGCACCTCAAACTGATAAAAACACTGTTGATTTTCTCACAGGGCTGACAGCGGAGCAGACAAGTGTAGGTAAGAGTGTGTGTGTGTGTGTGTGTGGTAAATATAGTAATCTTGATCCACATATCTCTGCAAACCTCAGTGCAAAGGTTGTTTTGTTTGAGGTGCGATATATCTCAGAGCCCCGCTGTACTTTTGTGAAGTTGAGCCCTGAATACAGTTGCAAGCTACGGAATGTCATTGTTTGCCGTTTTATTGGACAAACGGCTCCGATCACAATGCCTGGGAACAAACAGAGCTGGGGCTTCAGCCGTTTCGCTTTCTCTTCATTTCTGTATCTGACCTCCAAACAAGAAATAGCAAAGGCCAAACATCTGAGCTGTAGTTGTGGGATTAGAGATAAGCGTCTGTAATTGTCCAGGAGCAGAAGGTAAGTGAAGGCCAAACACAGATTAGATCTTGTTTTGAGTCCGAAGAACTGATGCTTTTAAGCAGTTTTGTCAGTACGGTTGCATTTGTTCGTGTTTTGTGCATGGAAATGTTCAAATCCTCTCTGTAAAACACTCTCTACAAATGTTTCATTCGTGATAACTGCACTTACATCTGTTTCTGAACAAAGTTTTTCACTGGAGTGTGAGTTTCTACATCAGCTCCTGTAGAGAAGTTCTGCGTGATTCTGATGCTTTTCTGATGATCTCTCTACAGCTGAATATAAAGGTGCTTTAAGATGTACTTCACAAAACTTTCAAAGGTTTAAAGAACATGCCTAAGGCATAGAGTAGGACTTAAAGGGATAGTCCACGCAAAAATGAAAATTCTGTCATTTGCTCACCCTCCACTTATTCCAAACCTATATGAGTTTCTTTCTTCTGTTCAACATAAAAGAATATATTTTGAAGAATGTTGGTAACCAACCAGTTGCCATACTATGAAATTCAATGGCTGCCATCAACTGTTTGGTTACTGGTAGCCATTGACTCCCATAGTATTCCCCCCCCCATACTATGGAATGGCTCAATGGCTACCATCAACTTTTTTTTTTTTGTGCTCAACAGGGAAAAAACCTCAGACAGGTTTGGAATAACTTGAGGGTGAGTAAATTATGACAATTTTAATTTGTGGGTGAATCATCCCTTTAAACTGAAGTTTTTGAAACTTCCCTTTCACATTGCCAATGAGACTGTGATGCATTGAGTTTTACGGCACCATGATATTCAAGAAGTAATCGCTGTGTTAAATGCATTAGATGCTCTTTGTGGACTTCTATTTTTGGTTGACACGCTCTTGAAAAAAACAGCACAAGAAGCGTTGCATTGGTTTGTTGTTGTGACCGATCCATCCTTTGATTTGGAGGTCAAATCTTCTGTTCTGATGCTGAACAGAGGCTGGCCTTTTGTCCTGATGTTTTGCTCTGTTCTGAGTGGTCAAGACTGTTGTCTGACCACCACCACATATCAGTTTAACCAGTGACAAGAGGCACAGCCCATCTATTTCGTTTCATGTCATTGGCCGCCTGTGGATTTATAATAGCCTGTAAAACCCGCCACAATAGGCGCTGTGTAAAAGTGTGGCTTTAACTCATTGTCTCATGTCAATACAAGATTTAACTGAGCCTTTGGCTCTCTGCAAAGGACAGCTCTCTAGAGTCTCACATTGTTATTTACATGCTGCTGACCGCACTTGTGGCTTATTTTTGTACATATAATAGTGTATCTGTGATATCACAATTGTTTCACCTAGAAAGTAATGAAATTAATTGGTGTTTCACACCCAGACTGCAAATGAGTGCTCTTTAACGTTGAAATGTGGTTGAAATAATGTCATTTTAAAGGGACAGTTCACCCAAAAAATGACAATTCTGTCATTATGTATTCACCCTCATGTCGTTCCAAACCTGTGTGAGTTTCTTTCTTCTGCTGAACACAAAAGAAGATATTTTGAAAAATGTTGGTAACCAAACAGTTGATGGTAGCCATTGACTTCCATAGTATGGAAAAAACTACTATGGAAGTCAATGGCTACCGTCAACTGTTTGGTTACCAACATTATTTATATCTTCAATATGACATCAGCATTTTTTGAATGTTTTCATTTATTCGCTCGCATGCAGTATTATGTAGAGAGAGCAGAATGCAGCTTTGTTCTGTCTCTGGAATATGAAGTGCTGGAATGTGTCCAGTGATCTCTGTATGAAAGGAAGCATATGAGTGTTGTGCATATGGAGGGTCAGTTCAGGTGAAGTGTGTGTCTCCGGATGAGGACATCAGCTGCAGGCTCTCCGATTCCTTCTGTAGCTGAAGAGGCAGAGCAGCGGAGGAGTGCAAATCCCTCCATCTCCCTAGCCAGAATTAGCCTCAGATTACTCACAGCCACAGCGTTTCTGCCGTTTACATAACCCTGTCACCCTCACCCTCTCTCCTCCTTACTATCTACAGCACAGCTGAACCCAGCACTCTACTTAGAGAAACTCAATTTATGAGAAACGAGAAAGGGAATCCTAAACTGAGAGAGAGATAAGGTGAGAGAAATGAAGTGTACACCTTCTTCAGTGCTTCTTTTCGATGGAAAGGTGGAGGTTCTTTGTTGTTTTATCAACCTGCTTTGCTCTACGAGTAGGTGAGTGAATGTTAGATGGAATCAGACTCACTTTTCGTTTGATTATGGTCTGTAGATTATATTGCATGATCATCTTACACTCTTAAAAATGAAGGCATCTATGAGTCCATGAAGATCCATGAAGATATCAAGGAGAGATTGTGTGTTTATTTAAGCATACATTTGAAATGATTTGTGTCATAGATATGATGGTTAACCAACTACATGTGAGGAGAGCAACCTCTGCAGAACATTTCTTCACTCAGCTCTGCTCTGCTCACACTCAGTCCTGTGTTCCCGTGTCTTTGTTTTTCTCCCCATGACCTAGTTTCTCCCTCATGTTTATTATGTTCATTGATTTCAGCTGTGTCCCAATTAGTTCCTTGTTTCTTAAGCCCTGTGTTTTTCCATGTCTAGCGTCCGGTATTGTTCGGTTATCCTCTGCTACGTGTGTGTTCCTTGTTCCTTGGATAAATAAAGACTTTCCTAGTTGTAAATGCTCCTACGTCTCCTCGCTCCGACACAGTAGCAGCACCGTGACAGAATACCGGTCCTGCAAAAAAGTAAGCGGCGCCCCTTCTTCCCGTTTGATTTCCATTTTTGAAAGTATTTTGTTTTCCGTTTCCCCCCCTGCGGTTATGGAAACCGCTGCTCAATTCTCCGCCCTAGCCCGCAGAGATCTCCCGTTCGTGGAGTACACCCGGGAATTCTGCGAGCTAGCTGTGATGACGGCGTTAGATGACGCCACACTAAACTCGCTGTTCTGGATTGGGGCCAACTACCATTACCCCGTGGACCTCCCAGACACAACTGGACTAAGCTGGAGGGAAGGGATCCTCCAGTGTCCGGAGAACGTCCGGCTCCGATCCAGAACCAGCCCGCCGTCAAGTCTGCCGGCCGCTCCGAAGTCATGCCCGCCGGCCGCTCCTGAGTCATGTCCTCAGGCTGCTTCGAAGCCAAGCCCGCCTGCCGCTCAGCAGACAAGACGTTGTGGTTCTCAATTAGGTCATTTGTTAGAGCTAAAGACGGACTCTCTCTTTGGTGACGATTGCTCACCTCTGCCTATTACTCACAGCCCCAGTAATGACCTACAGCAGCTCAGAGCTGAGGACTGTGGGAGATTTATGAACCTCATCCTCTACCGCTTTGAACCCTATAAAGCAGGGGTGCCCAAGCTCGGTCCTGGAGGGCCGGTGTCCCGCAGAGTTTAGCTCCAACCCCAATTAAACACACCTGAAGCAGCTAATCAAGCTCTTACTAGGCATACTAGAAACTTCCCGGCAGGTGTGTTGAGGCAAGTTGGAGCTAAACTCTGCAGGACACCGGCCCTCCAGGACCGAGTTTAAACACCCCTGCTATAAAGGCTGCAGTACACAAATTTCTGTGGCCTTTACATTATCAACATGATCAGTTAAGTTAAGTGCACGTGAAAGTGAAAAGTGAAAGTGACGTTAAAAAGCCTTTTAGTATAATTGTAAAATCCCTAGTGAAAAATAAATATACTAAAATGTATTTGAAATACATTTATTTCATGCTAAATATACTACAAATACATTTACATATTTATGTACTTAATAAAAATACCCTGCTTGTACTTTTAGTATACTAAACTGGTATACTTAAAGTCTGCTTAATTGGAACAACTAATCTTGTACTTAATGCACTTTAATTGTGCTGAAGTAGTTATGAAGTCCAACAAAAGAGATACTGAAGTATATTTCATTGTTCTAAAGTGGAACTATTGCAAGTATACTTCAGGTACACTTTAAATATCTTGCACTTAAAGACAAAGATCATACAATCCTTATTAATAGTGACATTAAAACACATCTGTAGGCTTAATATTAAGAAATGTGCATTGTGCACCAGCAGTACTCCAAATAAAGTTTAATTATAATTTTTATATCAGTAAGTCTAGATGATATGTCAGTAAATATGTAAATAGATTTGAGCTATAGTATATGAAATAAATGTATTGATTAAAATATGAGTGTAAAATATGATCATCAGGCTTTTGAGGAACTTTATTTGTTCATCTCTTAATCATCATTATTGCATTATATGTTTTAAAACTACAGATATTTGGTCATAAACTAAACATGTAAATATCATCTTACTGAGACATACTATTGGGAGATACTGTCACGTTTCGCTACTGTGAGGAGCACTGAGCGAGGAACGAGGAGACGTGGAGTAAACTTAACAAACAGACTTTAATAATATCCAAGGAACCAGGAAATCACACGTAGCGGGGAAAGACGACATTCAATACTGGACCACAAACTCAGAACAGGAAACAATTTATATACACAAAACATGACGAGGGGATGACGAGAAACACATCACAGGTTGGGTTCGAGTCTCGTACCGGCAGGGATTGTAGGTGGGGGGAGTGAATGTATAGCGCTCTCTCCCACCTTCAATTCCTTCAATACCACGACTGAGGTGCCCTTGAGCAAGGCACTGAACCCCCAACT